AGCGATGGACTCTCTCACTAGTCTCTCTGTCTTTACTCTGCTCCTCGCAGGGGATATTTGAAAGCTGTGTGGAGTGGTAAAGAAGAGAGAGAGAGATGGCGTGACTTTGTTTTTTGGTTTGGTAACTTTTTTATTGTTTATAATAAATCTGAAATTTTTGGAATGACAAAATGTGTGTGGATACTTTTGCTTTAGACACATGATAATAGTGGTAATGCCCGTAATTTATGCAGCTTGTTATTGCTTTTGTTGTGCTAATATGGACTAATCATATTTTTAACACTTTATGAAACTGCAAAAAATATAGATTTGTGAAGGGTATTTTGTGATACTTCCCTAATGATTTCAATGTTTTCAAAAGGTTGTAATAATTTTTCAACATATTTTAGAGATCTTGTGGAAAATTTTTAAAAAATTGAAGTAGAGGAGTCAGTTGTAGAAAGTGTAACAGTTAAAGAGGATAATTGGCCCGTTGGTCTCTTAATTAATTATAATTTGTAATCATTACAAATTTCCAAGAAACGGTCCAGTTAATTAATAAGCTAAATAGCTAATTATTACAAAATTGTTGGGTTAAGAGGAGAATTTTGAAACCGTAGAATTTAATTGATAGGAAGAGAACCGTTACTTGACTGAATATGCATGTGTTAGAAGGGCAAATCATACGTTGAGTTGGCTCTAAGACCATCTCCATTTGGAGTATCTAAACAGAATATTTTTTTAGAGAAATTTTATAAAATGTCATTTTTCAAATGTCATTTTACAAAAATACCACATTTTTGAAATCTTTACAAAAATGACACTTTTTCAAAGTTATTTTTTCTTTATATTATTTATATTGGGTTAAATATGTTCTATTAGGATTTAGTTATGAAGGTTTAGAAGGGTTTAGAGGTCATAACATTTTTTTAGTGTTTAGAATTTTAAGATATAAGGTTTAAAAATATATAATTAGTGACATTTTTGCAAATGAACAGCCCTAAATGATATTTTTGCAAATGTGCACATAAAAAGTGACAGTTTTACAATTTTCCCAAGTTTTTACCATTAAAAT